TGCAATGTCTTATTGCCTTCAATGCTGTTAAAAAAAAAAAAGGGAACAATTTGTTTTGTAATATGTGTAAATGTATTTTTTTTTTAAAGTGGCCTTTAAGGATAAGTAAGCTGCTATATATTCCATACGCTTTAAGGAAAATGTAACACATTTTATTTTTATGGTTCATTTCTATGCGGCAAGGATATATAAAAACCAAATATATAATGGTTCACGTGGAGGTAAAATATTTGTATTTAGTTGTTGAACTGAGTGCATTCACGCATGTGGATTTAAGTCGGTCATGATTCTCCAACTGTTCACATGGACTGTAGATATCCACAAAATGGGTCATTTAAATGGTTGCCTTAGCTCAGGCGCACGTCAGGTTAGGATCAGCAGAGGACTAGAAAAAGCAATCTCTTGGCTCTGTTGTTAAGGGACACCTGCCATCTAGTGGTATTAAAGAGGTCATGCGGGATTATTGGGTTACACAGCAGTTTAAATGGATAATCCTTACAATGTGACTGTGCCATTTGATGGAAACCTGTACTGAGAATATATGCAGGCTGCCATTGCTGAGGTCCTCTCTTGAAAATAGTTGTTGCCTGGCTAGATTGATGCAAAGGGTTCAGCTACTAAAAAAGCATTACGGCCCAAGACACCCAGGCAAATAGTATTTTCAGAAGGTGGTAAGCAATGGCAGGCTCTGATGTTTCTGTTAAAAAAGTGAGACCTATCATCACCGAACACCTAGGACTGATTATTGTCTCTGGCGTCAATTACCTGGAACAAGCATGCAGCTACTGAAGTCAGTGCTTCATATGTGCATACATCAAGGGCCGTGCCTCAGCAAGTACTGACGCTACTGAATCATGACAGCCATGCATTAGCATGTAAAGCATTGTAAACAATGTCAGGCTCCATATTCTCTCAGTACAAGTTTCTTTTATTATTGGATGTACAGCAACAAACCTTTTTTAGTTTTGGATAGAATGGGGAATGTTTTTTTTTTCTGTGATCTGTCAGGGAGATTTTTATTTTCTTTACTGTCCCAGAGACACAGCAGGAAGTAAGAGAAGACCTCTTCAAAGCAAGGGGCTATCCCCACTTATATGGTTGTCAGCATAACAGATGTCAACATTTTTAGATTTCCCATTACTTTTTGTACAAAAGGATCATTTAATTTTACATTTATTGTAGTTTGCAACCATTGGCTATCATGCACTTGACTGTGTCCTTACAAAGCCTGCATTCAGTAGGACACACAAGTGGCTAGAAGGGGATATTTTGACCAGAAGGGGTCATACAGATGAGGTGAGAAGAGTTCTATGTGGTCCAACAAGTGCACTTTTTTTTAAGAATGTGAGGATGAATTTCTCCTCAGCACCTTTAGTTACAGAAGTCAGTGATGGTTTGATTCAAAGCTTTTTTTTTACTGCTTGTTGAAGCTTAACTCCAGTATTAAAACATTTCTAGGCACACAGCACAAGTCACATGGATTACCTCACATAAAAGGACATCCCATGTCCTGCTGGCTGCTAGTCAGTGGTGTATTTTGGCTTTGTGGTGCCCTAGGCAAGACTAAACTTGGACACCCCCCTAATCTAAGTTTGCTCCCACCCCCCTTCCTGTTTGATATATTTTGCATAACCTGACAGTCACTGGATAGTGCACACACAGTATGAAGATTCTGACAGGTAGCCCTCTGCGGGGTCCGGATGGTCTGGTGGATGGGTGCTGACAGCGTGGTTCTACAGGAAGATGAGTGGCCAATACTGGAGGCAGCACTGCGAGGTCCCCAGCAAGCGCGGGACCTTACAGCAGCTGCTTGTTTAGAAATTTAAAGCGGTTTAAATGGCTGGTGAGGCTTTGCCTCACTGGTTTGGGCTTCTTTTTTTTGTCGTTCCTCTGAAAAGTGCCAGCCAAGGCAATGCCTTGTTTGGCAGCAGAGGCGGATCTGCTGCAGGGCAGCTACTGTAAAAAATGTTCCTCTATTAATGCTCGATACCTCTCACAGAAGTGATCTTCTGTTACATCATAGATGAAAGGCTGCATTCACCCTCCCGTTCTGTGAATGGAGCAGGGTGGATGACAGGAATTCTCCTTGTCCATTTACGTAATACTAAGAGTTTTGTGAATGGACAAGGGGAGGGTGAATGAGGTTTTCCTAAACAGACACTGCCACAGATTTTAACCCCCACAGCACCAGAAGATCACTGCTGTGGGGGTATCTAGCTTCAAAGAAGGGAGGATTTTTCCAGTAACTGGCTGCCAGCAGGCAGTGCTCTGTGCCCAAAATATGTTTCTTTACTGGAGTACAGCTTTAAGGATATGTCAATAGTTAAATGTCTACAGCCTAGCCACAGGTATAAATTAAAGTACACGTGGAGGCTATCACTTTTGACCTCCCTTATTGAAAATGCTAATAGGCTGACCCTCTGACTTTATTTTTAGGTGCTTTCCTAGAATAAGCATGCAGAAAAAGGAATTTTGATTTTTTTCTGCTTGATCCTTCCAACATACATGTTCTAGGTCAGGGACTCAGACCATATTATAGGCAGATAATAACAAAGGCCAGAATACTAGCTTTTTGACAAGGCGGTCAGCAATGACAACCTCTGTATTTCTGAGGGTAGGTTTACTTTAAAGGGAGCCTGTGAAGACATATCTGGGAGCAGCCATTACTGCAATCAAAATGTAAGCTCTGGAATAGTTATCCTGACAGGGATCTCATGGACTGAAAAAGAAAACTTGCAGAATAGGGGTATAGGGGAATAGGGGCCTTTTGCATGTCCCAGGAGAACGTCTGAAAATGTTTTATTGCTGTTTTTGCCTTCATGGCCCAATGATCCACCATTTCTGGTGTCACAGTAACAGATGAATGGAAGATAGAACTCCACAATGGGGGTCACAAGCGGCAATAAAAATGTTTTTAAAAATTGGCTGGATTTGTAGTTTATACAGGAAGTATGTCCCTGTAACATTCTTCTTATAACTATATACGTTGACTGTTCTAACTATACCATCTTAAAATAATAGAATATTCAAAGAACAGTCTTGCATTCCATGAGTATGCTTCTGAACTACCTGCACTTTCCTAGCCATTAGTGTTTGATTCAGTAGGGTTTTGCAATATGGAACAGGTGAGTTATGCACAGAAACATTTTCAGGACATTAAAAAGGTGTCCATACACTGCACGATTCTCGTACGAGAAACGCGGGAAATCCCGCGATCGTACGATAATCGTGCAGTGTATGGAAGGCGTGCAACCATTTCTACAGTATGGTCGCACGTCTTCCGTCGAACAAGGCTTGAAAACCGCCGCGAATCGTACGATTCTCGGCGAGTTAGTGGCCTGCTTGTTCGACAACAGCCGCACGCGCACACTGCCCGTTTGCAGTCATCGGGAGCCCGCCCCTCAGGGGGGCGGGCTTGCGATGATCGCAAGTACGATCTGCCTGTCCAAGATGGGCAGATCGTACAAGCTTTTAATTAGCTTACAACCATCGCAAGACAAAAGTCTTGCAATGGTTGTAAGGTGTATGGGCACCTTTAGGGCTAAGTCACACTAATGATCCTATCATGGAAACTTGCCAGGAACAGGATCAATAAAGAGACCACTGCACCTGCTTCTATGCCATCACTCCCTTCCTGGCCAAAGCATCACCCTGCTGGTTTGGCCTGTGAGAAAGCAAAATTGTAAGAGCACCTGCGACAGAAACACTGGTGTGACATGGACCTTGTACATGAATACTGATGGAAAAAACACTTATAGCCGTTATAAGAATAATAAACAAACATTCTTACAAGGGATTGCTTTTATAAATCACAGCTATATCAAAACGCACTTACTACCGGTATTTAATCTCAGCTTTTGCTAACAGAATAAAACTCAACACACTTGATTTATTGTGTATATATACATATATTTTCCAGAGAACAATGATTTCAGGTAATTACATATCGTACATTATAATGCAAGAATAAACATATTAAGTAATTACTTTTAATTTTAAAAAAAGCAAGATATACATCTGAAAATAGGACTACTGGATACTGACCATGTGATCTTCAGAGACAATCCCTAAACACATTCCCCCTTCCATAAAAAAAAAAAAGGAAAAAAATAGCAAAAAAGATTTCTGGCCTAATTTTTAAGATAGTTCTGTGATGTATTATTTCATGTTGCTATTTTTCAAGACTCCTCTTCAGGAAAGGACAGTTTCTGAAAAGTCTTCAAGTTAAAAAAAAAAAAAAAATATGGAGGTATAAATTAATTTCTTGATTACTAAAACTAGCTAAGCGATTATTCATGCTTAAACCAGACAGGAAAACTGTACAATCTAAAAAACTGGTAAATTAGATCCCATGCAGCATTTTTTGCCCCTGTGCCGTGCAGCAAAACACTCACACCCACATTACTGGCCACCTTGGTCGCTAAATCTGCCTGTTTACATTGCAAGTAGAAATACTGCGCGATACAGTACTCCACACTCTGTGAATGATACTAGGCTTGTTGAACATAGGAGCAGGGCCAACTAGACAACTAACTCAGGGTCTGGTCAACACCAGTGTCAATACTGTGCTTGGATCATAGCAGTGTCACTACTGATCGACCTGCACTAATCTGAGCGTTTCTCATGCTGGATGTAAAGACAATAGCGGACACTTCCACCTCTATATCAAGAAAGCTGATCACGAATGGTGTAAATAGATTCAGCCTTGGGAACATGCCACCAGTGTTTTGACCCATGCCACCAGTGTTTTGACCCAATGGATGTACTATTAAAAAAAACCACGTGCAAAACCAAATCAACTACAAACCGTACACAGAACAATGTTGAAATGCTAAGGCTGTGCAACTCAAATAAAGTGGGTATGAATTGCTTTTGCGCATTTTTTAAAAGAATAAATCAGATAAATAGATGTACACTCAACCTAAACCACAAGATTCTGGAGACCACGGTCACAGCAATCCCTCCATTAACCTCATTTAGATAAACATAAGATGGGAGGCATTTAACATACCCTAGGCATTAAAAACATTGCAACAGTATATCTATCTATGGTGGGAGTGCAGTTGTTTTCTTTTGCACAAAATGGGTGGTTTGCTGTCCATTATTAATTTTGTTCAGAAAACATATAAATATAATTTGTATAAACAAAGTACTTGTTCAAAGTATATAAGCCTGATTGGAAGAAAGATCCAGCCAACTCCAGCAATAATGTTATAGAATGCCATAGCCATCTAAGCAGATAAAAAGGTTTTGAACAGAAAGTCATTCCTGGAAATAGTTGTCATAACTTAAACATGTTTTAACAAGCGTTCATGTCGATTCCTTACAGAACCAACCAAACATTATAGCTCATAGTCGAAAATGTAGTCATTGGCCAAGTATATTCTGCGGAAAATAAGAGCTGCCAATGCTAATGTCAACAATACGATCAGCAATGTTGTCCCAGTGTTGCTTGCATTGACAGCATGTTGCTGGACTGGGATGAGCCCTGGAGAGGCAGGGTTCCTTCTCTGTTGTGCTCGTCGCTGCCGAGGGCTCCTCGACAGATTGGGAGCGGGTGCTGGTTGTGCAGCTTCTTCACCAGATGGAGCTTCTCTATCCTGAGTCTCAGCCTGAAAAAGGGATTGGAGTGTTAAGATCACTGCACAGTGTTTTATTACACAGAACCTAGAATATCAGTCTATCAGCTATTGATCTAGGAGCAATTTCAATACAAATTTCAACTAAAAAACCTCACTCCAGTTGTGCAGTTTATTAGCTGCGCCCCAAGTTGGCTAGTTATTGCATGTTTTTTGTTGTTTTTTTTTTTTTAACAGCTTCTTGAATAATAAATAACTGTATGTGGCCCTTTTCAACAGCGATAAAAGGCCTGTAAACCCTAACAAAAAATATCTCTTATTTGCTCCCATTTAAATTTGGTAAATATACCAGCATAACCATTATATTTAATTTATTTGAGGAGTGTAAAAAAACTAAAAACCTGTTGATCCTTTAGAAATCCTGAGCCGTCTTGAGCTGTCTCTCTTGGGGAGAGAGGAGCAGCCGAAAGAGCCAGTCACACAGAAGTGGCAATGCTGATATGCCATTAAAAGGAGAACTATGGGGTTAGGGCTTTTCCCCATAGATCTCCTTAGGGTAACGGGAGGACACAAACTAGCATCCTCCCGTCACCCTAAGCTCAGTATACCGCAAGCTACAGCTCGCGGTATACTGAGACACCGCAGCTGAAGCGGATCCCGACAATTATGTCTGGATCCGCCCAGCTGCGTGAGTGACAGCTGGCTCTGCCCCCTCCCGTTCAGCGCTGGAGGATCGGAGCGGGGAGGGGGGAATCCAGGCCCTCCTCTGTCACGGCAGAGAGCTTTGACAGGATCGAGAAGTGAGCGAACGCCGGTATGTGTTCGCTCACCTACCGATCTACTGAGCCGACCTGCGAGAGTCTCATTGTCACAGGTCGGCTAGAACTATGAGGTGAGTGAAAAGCACTCACCTCATAGTTCTCCTTTAAGGAACAGGTCATTAGCAGGAGTAAGCAAAGGTGCAGTGAGATAAGCCTATAAGTAAGCCGATTCTCCTTTCATAGGCTGGGGGCGGAAACAAGACCTAGGAGGTGTAATTTAACTGTGGCAGAGAAAATTCAAGTCTCCTGCTCTGCCAGTTACGGTTGTGTGGCAGAGCTGTGTAAATCTCAGGACATAAATACAAATCATTTGGTTGGTAAAATAGCTCCCATTTATGTATTTAATTTGTGGATTAAGCCATATGCCTGCAGTTCAGCTTTAAATATGCTGCATATAGGACTTTGGTTTTAAGTAACAGAACAACTTGAGATCACAACATTAACCAATATTTTACAAGACTATAAGGATAACAGTGGTGGGAAAAAAAAGAGCTAAAATCTAATCCTTTAAAACACTAATGCCTACACAAACAGCAAAGTATAACATCAGGAGATGAGGCAAAAACAAATATGTTTGTGCAAGTTAAAAATATTAATGCACAGTTCATCAGTTTAAGTGTTCCACAAAAACAATTATTCTGCATTTGTCTTTGCATAGGGAGCTTCAGTGTCTGGAGTTAACAGTTTGTTCCAGAGTACTTTGTTTTGTTAGGCAGTTGTCTGCTTAGCCTACAGCACAAATGAGATCAGGCAGCAAATGTAACCGAATGTGGAGTAAGCTTTCTGCAGCTTAATGCATTTCCATTGAGACAGGTCCCAGTCATCATCTACGTCATACACTACATGCCAATTGTGTTTGCTCTTTGTGTAAGTTCCCCCGTATATCATACAGCATTCAAGATAAAGGGGTTTTAGAATAGAAAAAAAAAAGAAGAAGGACCACTGATCAGTGCTCTAGCGATTGTGTGAAGTCAATGTCGGAGGGTATTCCCCCAGTTACTGAGCCTGTAAAATGCAAAGCCTGCCACAGCAGATGGTCTGACGTTATTAGACGTGTTTTTGTCTATACCAATCCCCAGGCCCATCACCGCTAAAATAAACAAATAAATAAATAAAGTGCAGCTTATCTAGGATTTCAGCACAATTTATCACTGAATTTAGATTGCATTTACAAAAGTCCAACAGCAGCTGCCTTGGCTCAGGACCAGACTCCATGCACTCCCATAATGGATGTGTTATATAAAGTACCACAGACTGGGAGAATTAGGCAAATGCCAAATTAATACTTTCAATTATAGAAGCGGTATTATATAAACGAGAGGCTCTTATCCCATTTCATATTTAAGGGGGGAAAAAGGAAGCTTGATATAACAGCCCTCAACTCCCTTGATGCTCCCCCATGATGCAAATCACTGTTTTCTACCTAGATACTTACCCCCACCACTGGCTGGAATGCCAGACTATCCCTTCGAAAGTGCTTCAGTTAAAACCTTGCATTGGAAACGATCCAGCATATAACATTACTTTAGAGGGCAGAAAATCTTGATTGTCTGCTATATTGCACATATAGGGAACGGTTTACCTATGCTGTTTGCTAAACAGGAGTGGGTTTGTTGGGAAATAGGGAAGCATTTTAAAAGGTGAACTAGACCCACCAATTTAATGTTTCCCAAAACAGTTACTTTTAAGGCATGCCAACTGTGAAGGTTGCCAGTGTGCTGATTTCAACTCTCAACTGAACTTTCAAGTCCTCATATGACTGGTGTCATAGCTGATCACTTGTGCAGAACCATGGCAACTGCAATCCAAATAGAGGCTAAGATGGCACCTTCCTTGGCTGTGAGGTATTGGAGGTTGTAGTTCCATTTTAAATATTGGAAAGATTTTAAAATGTATGTCTAGGCAAAACCTGCGAGTCCCAATTAGGGAGATTCACCTCTTTTTTTGCACTGGTGACCCTTGTCACTGAAACAGAAAGTGAGGAGAAATCCAAAAAGCTTTCCTTAGAAGTAAAAGGTAAGAGGAAATCTTCCAATGGGACCACTGTCTAAGAGGAGCATTTTCCTCACTTTGGGTGATTTCATCAAACTTCCTACTGCGTCTCTAGGATTTTGGTACTCACCGTAAAATCCTTTTCTCTCCGTTCATTGAAGGACACAGGGAACAGATCGGAGATCATGTACTGTAGGGTAATATCGCCACCTGCAGGAGAAGGACGCTAGGCACAAAACTAAAGACCAATTACAGCCTAGGGGCGGCCCCTGCCGGTGGCCAAACCCCCCACCTGCTGACAAGTTTCCAGTTTAGTAACAAGCAGTAAAAGGAGTACACACCCACGAAACGCAGCCATAAACACGGATGGCGCGGACCACGTCCAGACATTGTAGTGCCTTCTCCTTCCTGTGGACAGGCTTCGGACACAAGGAAGGCAGGACAATGTCCTCATTGAGATGGAAAGCCGAAACTACCTTCGGCAAGAAAGACGGCCGAGGCCGTAGAACCACCTTGTCCCGATGCAGGACCAGCAACGGGGACGAGCAAGAGAGGGCCGCCAATTCCGAGACCCTGCGGATCGAGGTGACCGCCACCAAAAAGGCCACTTTTTGAGATAGAGCCAGAATTGGAATGTCACGCAGAGGCTCAAAAAGGGAGATTCCTGCAACACTGAGAGCACCAGATTCAAATCCCACGGCGGCAACGGGGAGCGAACAGGGGGAACGATACGTGTGACCCCCTGCACAAAAGTGCGAACGAAGGCGTTGGAGGCTATCGGCCGCTGAAAAAGGACAGTCAAAGCCGAAATCTGGCCCTTGATCGTACTCAAGGCCAACCCTTGATCCACACCACGTTGTAAAAAGGCGAGGATTCTGGCAACGGAAAACAAACGAGGCAGAAATCCCACCGACTCACACCAGGCAAAATAAGCCTTCCATGTGCGATGGTAAATCCTGCGGGACACATGCTTGTGAGCCCGCAACATCGTAGAGATAACCGCACCCGAGAGCCCACGATCCCTCATCACCTGGCTCTCAACAGCCACGCCGTCAAAGCCAGCGACGGTAAAGACGGATGGAACACCGGACCCTGAGATAGGAGATCCGGACGGAGCGGCAGGCGCCAGGGGACGTCCGCCACTAACCAAACCACATCTGCGTACCACGCCCTCCTCGGCTAATCCGGAGCCACGAGGATGACCGGGACGCCTTCTACCGCGACCCTGCGAAGAAGACGCGGCAACAGATAAAGTGGAAGGAACGCGTAAATCACACCGTAGCAATCCCACGGCGCCACCAGGGCATCCACCGCGTCCGCCCAAGGATCCTGGGTCCTGGCCACGACCTGCCGATTGAGGCGAGACGCCAGGAGATCCACGTCCGGGGTCCCCCAGCGAAGACAAAGCTGGTGAAACACCTCTGGATGTAGCATCCATTCTCCCGGGTCCACCGACTGGCGACTGAGATAGTCGGCCTGCCAATTTTCCACGCCCGGAATGTACACAGCGGAGAGAGCCGGAACATGCACCTCCGCCCAAGATAGAATTCTCTCCACTTCCCGAGCCGCGGCCACACTTCTTGCGCCGCCTTGATGGTTGACGTAAGCCACAGCCGTGGCGTTGTCCGACTGAACCCGGACCGGCCGCCCCTTCATTGGTCCGTCCAATGAAGAAGGGAGAGGCGGATCGCCCGAAGTTCCAGCACGTTGATCGAAAGCCGAGACTCCTCCGATGACCAACGGCCCTGAGCTGTCCAAACGTCCAGGACGCCCCCCCAGCCCAACAGGCTGGCATCCGTGGTGACCACCGTCCAGTGAATGGGAAGGAAGGACTTGCCCAACAACAGAGACGGGGACTGAAGCCACCAGACCAGGGAGACCATTGCCTCCCGAGGCAACTGAACCGTCCAGTCCAGCGACAAGGGGGGACTTGTCCCACAGCGACAAGATGGTCCTCTGCAGAACGCGCGTGTGATGCTGAGCGTAAGGTACCGCCTCAAAGGAAGCCACCATGAGGCCTAGGACCTGCATGCAAGAACGGATCGTCGACCACCGACGTGCCCGCAACAGCGCCACATGCGAGCGAAGCTTCTCGGGGGGTAGAAAAAAACGTGCCGAGGTGGAGTCCAGAATCAACCCCAGATACTCCAATCGAGTGGTCGGCACCAGGCAAGACTTCTGGAAGTTCAGAAGCCAACCGAACTCCTCCAACGACCGAAC